ACAGGACAAAACTTTGAAATCGGGGGGTTGTAAATCTTGGTGCTTGTGGTATCTGATGCAGTGACCTGATATGAGTCTCAGTCTCATGCTACTGATCTTGGATTCTAACAAAAATGTATTTATTGTGTCTTCCCCTTTATCAGTGTAATGTGCTGGATATAACTTTTCTCAACTGCTTATTAGAGTCAGGTCTTCACCCAATATAATCATGATAACACTTTGATTATTATCAAATTCTCTTTTTGCCTCCTGCACGACACACGGACACGTCTGCAGATGAGAGCAAGCTTGGCAGTGAAGGACAGACACCTGCAGTGGAAACCAGGGTTACGAGCCTTGATCTAGAGTCCACAGCTGTGGCCACTATGCTGAGACTGGGCTTGAACCAGCAACCTTCCAACCACAAGCAGAGGCTTAGCCTACTCAATCATGTTCTATGCCCTGGATGACATGAACAGTGCTCCTATGAACCAGGAAGCTGTAGGACAAGCGCTGGAAAATATAATCAAATTAGAACAGCTGCCATGTAACCATATTAGTTTTATAACCTGAACTAAAGTGATTATTTCCATTTATAAAGCATTAAGTTCTGGCTTCCATTCATCTAATTAAACTCAGTATTGTAGTGTCTGTAGCAGGGACAATCTGTGGTGAGACCCAAGCCCTGGAGTCCAGTGCTAAAGGGATTTCAGATCATCCTGTTTCTCTGAACATTGCCTCACTGCATCAGCTCAGATGGTTAAGCTACTGGAAACCAGAAGCTTGTATCAGGGGTTGTTAAACATTTTGATCAAAGGTCCCCATCAGATTTTTGTCAAAGGTCAGAAGTCTAGAAGTCAGTGGTCTGGAACATTTACAAAAGTAAAACAACGTTTTATGAACTTTAATGAATTAAGAATAACTTTTTCTATTAGACATCAATATATAACAATAATAAGAAATTAACGTAAAGACTGGTTTGATGCTCACTGTTCTTTTGACTGTCATTAGGGAGGGGAGAGATTATATCGAGTTATGTGTTTATATAAGTTTGATGTACTACAAACCGTACTTAATGTACATTAAGCCTTTTTACATTAACCATATCGATTCACAAGATTCATTATTGGCTGGGTCCAGATTAACATGTTAACTTGGTGGTTCGGTCCGCATCCAAACTACGGTCCAGGTTTTAAGAACCTCTGGCTTATGGTACTGTTCATTATTTTGTTTATATAATAGTAGGATGTCTTTCCTACAAGTTATCCCACCCTGGTTTTTGATTTAGGGGATTAGTTGTCATTGTTGACACAGCACAGCACAGAGTGCACAACAATGAAATGTGTCCTCTGCATTTAACCCAAATGTCACATGGTGACATAGCAGGGGGCAGCTAATTCAGCGCCCGGGGAGCAGTGCTTGGGGGCGGTACCTTGCTGGTCGGGGATTCGAACCAGCAATCTTTTGGTAATTTAGGTAACTTTGCTTGGAAGGGTACTGGATAAAAGTGAACTGAACTTGTGATTAAATTTATCTGAAATATGTAATACAATTTACGTGATAAAAGTGTGAAAGCAGGTATCTGGTGATTAGCCTGCACACTGGCATAATGGAAGCATAAACAAACATCTAACAGGTTCGCTCTGTACTGCCGTTAGCAGGATGTTGAAGCTGCCTGTTGCTTGCGAACCCCAGCAAAGAATGCGGTTGGTAGAGAAGTGAGGTGAATTTCCTTTAATTTGCTTAACTGACATTTTCATAGCCTATTGCTGGATAATTCATACCCTGTGAAGTCCCTGTCCAATGTGACCTTCACTAGGAAATATAGTCTACATCCTTCCTTCAGTTTTATTTAAGAATTGATTATGTTTTTGGATAGCATATTTTTAATGTGATAGAATTCATCCATTCATTTTTTCTACCTGCTTGTCCTATCCATTCATTTGTTCTACCTGCTGGTCCTATCCAGACCCCCTATCACGGGGGTCTGGATCTTCTCTGAGAAGCTATGGGTGCCAGGTGGGGAACAACCCAGGACTTTGCTCACCAAGGCATTTTACACAATACTTCCAGATCGTGGAGGGTCAACTGTATTTGCTATTTGCACATGTATCAGTATATTGGAATTCTTTTGACATATCTCATCTTGCCTTTGAAACATACAATGACACACACACACACACACACACACACAGACACAGACACAGATGAGAAGGAGTCTGAGTGCAACCTGCAGCATGAGGTTATTCATCCAGCACCTCAGGAGTATTTCGGGGGGGGGGGCTAGAGGCCTATCCCACTGTGCCACACACCACAGCCTTATGATAGGACACAGACACACTGAGTTTGTGCCACAGAATTTAAAGTGTTATGCTTTAGCGTTTATCTGACTGTTATCTGGTTCCACGTGTCAATGGAGGAGCGCCCTCTGCTGGCTATCTTTCACAGGACTCCTATTCAATTTAAGAACTGTAGTCTTGGGCACTAAAAGTGTATCCATCATGAGATATTCCCCTTATTACTGTTTTGTTATTATATTAATTATTTGCTTTATTTTTTAAAGTAAATATATATTTTGGTCACATTTGCAGTTCCTGGTTGTCAGTGCCAGCCAAAACCCGTTCGGTAGCCCATGCTAGCACAATTTCTCTTTGTCTTGGACAGTTTCCCATCCTGGGGGTGGGATAGAGATGTGGCACCCAATCAGAATATGGCACCCTGGGCGGCACCTGATTGGTTGACTAGCCCTGTTGGTTGTGTTCCCTTGAATAGACAATAGGGTTAAGGTCCAAACCATGAGCTATGCTCCTATGGATAAAAGCAAAGAGTTATAGGTATTACAAAACAGCTGTTGATAAAGTAGCAATAGAAAATGGCATAAACATTAAATGTTGACATATCCGCTTATGACAATTTGTACTTTGTACCTATGAATACATCATTTTTTATATTCATCTCCCCGGAGCCAGTAAGGGTCGGGTGTGTGGTTTTCCAAAATGCCGCACGCTATGCTGTTATCTGTTTTCCCCACTATGTATGGGTTTTGTTGCTGTCATGGAGAGCAAGTACCTGTTGTATGACCAGTATAACTGTCACAGTGTTCAGGCAGTGTGCTCCATTGCCTTGATGTGTTTATAGTAAAAGCGTGTGACATCCTGAACTCTTCAGCTAATTGGAATCATTTCTCTAAGAACAACAGCAGTTATGTCCTCTTGTGGCAAATCTACCAGTTCTGATCAGCAGACAACATAACTGGAAATCACACTGCAGTCTGAGCTGTACAACTCACGTATTGTCATCTGACGCTAATGAATCTTAATTGAAAGTACAGAATCTGTCATTCCTTCTCAGTTGGAAAGGCAGAAAGATTTCTAGGTTATTAAGGATGTTTATATAAAAAAAACAAACGTCACACATGAAACTGCATTCTTTTATTGACAACTTCTCTTGTGTTTCTGAGCTGTTAAATTTACACTAATTGTCTGTATTACCTGCTCCAAATAAAAGCATCATTAAAAATTATTCTACGTTAGCATTCCATTAATAGCATTAATCAAAACAATCATTTTGTTTATTCATGTTTTTTACTCTGAAGAACAACTGGGGTACTATTGAAAAGTAATCAAACTTCCTGACTAATTAAGACTGACAGGATTGGAGTGTTTTTATTGCTATGCATAGGACATAGTGGCAAATTAATTCAGCGGTATAAAGCTTCAGAGTTTCAGTTCAGTTCAGTTATATGAATTGCACTTTTATCCATTATTGTTTTTACAAGTTTTTAACTGTTTATTGATTAATTTTATCTGATTCATAGTCACAGTTATCCTGGAATCTATTGCAGGAAGCACAGAGAAAGATACTCAGATACTCAAGTGGATAAATCATTTGATTTACAGTTTAACGATTTCACATATCTGCTTAGGAGAATTTGTACTTCGTACCTATGTATACGTCATGTATATTTTGTTAAGTGTTATCCACATGGATAAAATGTGAAATAAAATGTTAATTGGAACTTGAACCTGTTACATTCTTTACATACTCAGAACCATTTGCCCCATTTTACGTGGAAATTTTTTCCATATAGTTTCGTTTCCTAGTGATGGTCTAAAGGTTCCCTTATCTGCGAAAAGGTGGAGGAAATGTGGGCGTGGCCACGGCTGGAAACAGCTACAGCAACAGCCAATAAGCTTGAATACTGCATTCATATGACAGTTCTATTTTCAATGCAGTAAGTCAAGTAAAACCAGTACTTGCAAGCTGATGTCTATTTCACCATCTCGCTTGAAGTGTTTCCTCATTTATTTGAGTAAAACAAAAATTTACATTGTTATGTTCCATATCTTTTTGGACCCTTGTGCTCATGATAAATAAAACAACTCATGTTGGATGAAAAAATGAATATGACAATTTTATAATGATATTAAATGTTTGATGGCTCATGATTTAATGAACTTTGAAAACGTGAAGGTTTTCAATGCAGTTTTAAGGTAATCAGTATATTAAGAAATGGCTGTTGCCTGGAATGGGCTTCAGACCCGGGCATAATCCTGAGCAGGTTAAATGCTTGGAAGATGGATGGATGGATGGAACTGAAGCAATGGATTTCACGCCATCATTGCCTTCACACTTCCAGAGTAGGAGTATTGTTGGATTTAGCTTAAATCCTGCCTACATCTCCTCTATGTGTCACCTCTATGATCCCATATTTTGGAAAATGGATACAATTGCTACAGTCTGATTCCAAAGGTAGAATATTGACAAAAAGTCTCACATACATTTCATACTTCGTCAGGGTTGTTCTGAACACTTCATTGAATGAGATTCACTGCATAACATGATCGTGGGTGAACTTTACCCAGTGTCCAATCTCATTTTAATTGCACTGCTGTATATCTATACTGTAAGTTTTGTAATTATAGCTTGCTTTTCTTCTCTGTGTTCCTCACTGAGTGTTAATCATTTATTTTTATAGCCTGGATATTCTCATCACCAGAGCTGATAATTGCTGTAAGCAGAGACAAAGTTCTTGTCCTGCTTGTTTCCTCATAACTAGGAATGTCTACTTACTACGAACACGCAGGGAACGCAGCTTGTTAAGGTAAGGATGCATATTTCAGATATTATCATGTTAACAAGACATTTGATTCATTAAATACTACAATAATATTCTAAACTCATTGGATGCTATATTTCGCACACATCAATAATTATATAGCTATAACAGTGAAAAGTTTTGTGGTTTCATTGAAGTACAGCAAGTAAAAATAAAATATTTTTTTGTTCTTATTATGCTCAATTATAGATTTTGATTTTAGAAAAATACAGTTTACATAGACAAAGAATTAGAAAACAATTTCTTGACATTAGATACTACAGGCTGGTCAGTGTCTGATCATGTTAATAATGAAACAATATAGCAGCTTTATGGTCATCTAAATATTCCAGTGTAACTTATTTTAATCTGTTAAACTTTAAGTGATTTCTTTGCAATATTTCGCATACAATACTGAAAATCAAATGTTATTTAATAGATGAAATATTAATGAAAATTAAAATTAATAAATGTTGAATACTTTGAAATGAATTATTGTAAAATTCAGGGCTAAATAAAATTATGTTAATAAACATTATCAGTTAATAAATACTTTAATAAGATTGATGCTATGAAGCTCATCCTTTAGTAAGTCTAATTAAAGAATTTATTAAACAACATTAAGTTAAAACATTTGGTTCAGATGTTGGTACTTTTAATGAAGTGCAGGACTCTTATATTACTTAAATGACGTTTATATGAAGTTTGCTGTCTGTAAATAGCAATAGATGACCTGCTGATACAGAACAATCTCAAATTAAGTGCAAAACAACTGAGCTCACAAGTTGTTTTTTAGCCTGTGAATAAGGACCTTTAAGATGCCAAAACCATTTTTGCTCCTGTTGGCCTCTGTGTATCTGGCTGGTGAGTATCACGCCCTACACCTCATTCTACACTTCACAATTTGACAAGCTCGTAGAATGGCCACAATTTATACAATGTAATATGTTTAAGTAGATACATTTTACACCATTCCATAAAAAAAAAATATTTCCAGACTTTTGCCATGCCTTTTTAAAATTCATTATGCATGAGAAAAAAAGTGCTCTATAAATGAATTTTTCCAATAATGTTTTTTCTGTTTTTAACCATTTAAGTTTACAGTTATGGAATTGACATTGATGTAAAACCAATTTTTTTAATGGAAGACCTCCCGCTTGGTATGTTTTAATTTTTTCCACACTTCTTTGATTATATGTTTATGCATATTAATTATTTTCATGATATTATAAATGAAACAATAATTTAATATCCAATCATCTTTGTTCCTATTTTGGTGAATTAATTGTGCTTTTTATTGACCACAGTTTAACTAAATACTTCTTAACTAAACAGCGAAGTCATTGGTGCATGCCATTAAAAATTATTACAGCAGAACTCAGTAGTCGCCATAACCATTAAATAATAATAATCACTTTTCTTTGAATCCTGGAAGAAAAATATTTTCAGCTCTGACAACATATATTACAGCAAATTTTTCGTTACACAGCTGATTCAAATGACTTAATTCACATTGCACATGTAAATCCATAGAAGCACAATTAGGCATAAATAAAGATATATTATACATTTCTTCCCATTTAGGTGCATATGCTTTTACAATTAATGCGACGGGCCCACCAGGTCAGCCATTAACTTATGCACTTGGAGGAGATGATGCATTTTACTTCAGTGTTGCACGAGACACAGGAAGCGTATCCATAAGGTCTTACTTGGACAGAGAGGTAAGTTCTTTATGGCTTGTTTAACAACCTATGCGTTTCAGTAAATGCCGCTAACAGACAGATGTACTTATTATTTTCAGGCGAAGAGAACACTTCTGTTATTGGTTGTGGTTTCTGATGGTCAAAACGAGGTACGTACAATATATGTCTCCCTATTTGTGTGTGTGTAGAATCATGTTTATGTAACTGATATATATATATTTTTTTTGGATTAGGCGAGGAGACAACTTTCTATAATTGTACGCGATGCAAATGATAATCCGCCGATATTTGATCCCCCATTGTATGACATAAATGTGCCAGAAGTAAGTGAAATATATTTATATATATATATTTTTATTTATTTATATACATCACATGAAACAAATTATTCACAAACATCTGTGAAAATATACATTATGTATAACTACAGGACTCAACAACATAGCTAATGCACTCTAAGATTACATTCTTCTTTTGTTAAACATTTTTTTCCCCAGAATACTCTACCAGGAGTACTGTTTCAAGTGACAGCCACTGATCGTGATGAAGGGGATGCAAAAACGATTGTGTACAGAATTGACAATGTAAATTGCTTTAATTTAATCATTAGCAATTATTTCATTGAAGTGCATTAAGGTGGCTGATTGATTATATTATTTTGTGTAGGTTATACCAAGTACGGGCAACGACCTCTTTTCAATTAATGAAATCACTGGTAATGTCAGTCTTATGGGATCTTTAAATTACACAAGCAAAAGCACTTTTTACCAGTTAAAAATCAACGCATCGGTAAGTGTAACATTTGTGGTTTTTTCCTCATTGTTTTCTGTTTATTGTGTGATTGATCTTCAAACTTTGTACACTATGTAATAAATACACAAAATTAAAAAAGTGAAATACTATGAACGTTATTTTTACTACTTGAAGGACAAAGGTGGCCCACTTAACGGAGAATTCGTTATCCAGTCCAGTACAGTTTTTGCCTCCATTAATGTCATTGATGTTCCTGATCTTGATCCACAATTTATAAACCTTCCATATGTAGCCACTGTTGATGAAAACACACCTGTGGTAAGTGTTAATGATGAATTATTTGGCTCATTATATATGGAAAAATGTTTTCTATATGTGTACATTTGTAGTCATGTTATTACAGCTGTGCAGTTTCTCTTGAACTTTTAGGGAATCTCTGTAATCGAAGTCTTGGCTATAGATCCTGACATGGGAGTCAATGCCAACATTGTCTATACAATTCAAAGTAAGAGTTACTCTCTATTCTTTTATTTAAAAAAACAAAAACTTGCATGTTACTTTTGTATTACTCATTTTGTGACTGAAACAATACAATAATTTAAAACACCCAACCTGTTATTCTATTATAGGTACCAATGTGCCCGATTTATTTGAGATTAATGAAATTACTGGATTAATATCAGTCAAAATGGTTTTTGATAGAGAGGAACTATTGGACATTGATGACATTGTTACACTGAAAGTTATGGTAAGTGGCAAGTTACATACTTTTGGTCTACTGGAATAGGTACATGTACATGTTCAAGGACAAAAAAAGGTATATAAAAGCATCATATTAGGTATACTACTTATGTGATAAGGAAAGATTGTTTTCTTATGCTAATTGTGAGCTTTCTGCTTTTTTCTAGGCTATGGAAACTGAAGAAAATGTTCATGGAAATTTTCCCAGCACCACGACAGATGTGAAGATCACTATTGGTGATGTTAATGACAACAAGCCTAAGTTTTATTATTGTGATGCCACACAATGTGATTTAAATACACAAGCAAGTGATTTCAGTGGCGACATCGATGAACACTCATTTGTGGGCGCCTCTGTAAACGGTTTAAATATTTTAGCAATGGATCTGGACCAGGTAAGGCTTTGATTATTTTTCTCTTATTGTAAAAAAGTTGTATTCTTGTTAAACATATTTAATGCATAGATGCACAAAAACAGCTGTAGTCTTGCTGTCTTTTTTTCGTGCACATTACCATGTAGCAATGTTAAAACTTACAGTAATGACATGAAATGCAAATAAGTGCTCAAGTAACATAAGGAAGACTTTCGAATCCAGTGTGTTTTTTTATTCAGGGACAAAATGCCAAGTTCACGTTGCACTTAGAAGGTCCAGACAAAGACGCCTTTCAGGTGTCGCCTTCCGCCGGCATCTCAAAAGCTGAAGTACAAATTCAGGTCAAAAACCAACAAGATGTCGACTACGAAGAAAAGAAATTTATGATAGTGGAGGTAAAGATGCATAGTTGCATGGGGTGTTTTATAAAGCAATCTGACTGATTTACTTGACCTAAAAGTTCAGGTGTTAAAACGTTAAGTATAAATGCATTGCAAGCAACATAGCACCTGTTCTGTTTGGATCAGGGACATGAATGGAACTTAATTCCTAATCATATGTATGGAAATATTTTTTCAGCAAATTTTTCACGAAATACTTGTTGTTAGCAGGTTTTTGCTTAAATAAGCACATGAGTTTTGCTACGAAAATAGACGGGGAAATATATTTGTTGCCTCTACAGGTTGTTGCCACTGAAGATTCCACAAGTGACAGCTTTTCCACAGCCACTGTCACCATCCAGATCAATGACATTAATGACAACTTTCCAACTTTCAAGCAGGACACCTATGAAATAGCAGTGAAGGAACACAGTCCAATAGGCACAATCATAGCCACCATTACAGTATGGCTTTTTCATTTAAATGTGTTTTCTTTTTTGTTTAAGACTAGCTCATTTGGAAACTAGTTTGGCAGTAGCAATTAATGTTGAAGTTCAAAAAAAGAGTGTAGTTCATCAACCAGACACTGACATCAACAAAGACATTTAAATTCTAATTTCAGGCTACAGATCCAGACACAGAAGATAAGGACAACATCACTTATACTCTTCTACCTGCTAACATGTAAGTCCGCACTCAGGGATCACTGTAAATGGAACATGAAGGTGCTATGATATGATATTGTAGGACTGAAAAACATATCTTCAGTAGCCATTCTGATGTGCACAATTTTCATATATTTCAGTATTTTTGGATGATGTGGTCCAGCTTTAAAACACTGTTGATTTGATAATATGAATTCATTTCAAAGGACAAATAAATACTTGAATATAGATAATGCAATATACTAACTAATATAAAATTGTATTTAATATGAATTATTAAATGTTTTTGTATATTAATTTATCATTTAAAAAATTATTGTGGGACAACAGAATTTATATAATTATACTGTTTTTCTATTTTTCAGATTGAATTATTTTGATGTTTACCCAAGTAATGGGAGCATTAAAGTGGTTGATGATGAAAAAATTGACCGTGAGATCACTTCCTTTTTTTATGCCACTCTAAAAGCGACGGACACCAAAGAAAAGGTTGGAACGACAACCCTAGAGATAACACTCTTAGACATAAATGACAAAGTACCAAATATTACCAGGGAGTCATATTACGAGTTTGTGAAGGAAGGACCAAATCAGCAACTGAGATTCAAAGTCCAGGTGAGTTCATGTTGGAAGAGGTTAGAGTCCTGCTTTGGTCCAGTGTCTACGTGGCTGGTGCTTCAGTGTAACCTGTTTATGGGGGGCAGTGTGTCATCCAGGGGGTTAGAACTCTGCACCTGTAGTAGGAAAGTCATCGGTTCAAAATCTCATAACTGGCAGAATGGTACCAATGGGTTTCATGAACAGCGCCCATAACGTCAATGGGCTTCAGGGCTGCCAAATGCTGACCAACCCCATTTTTGACCCCCAAAACTGCCTGTCAACAAAAGATTGTACATGCGTCATGTGTCTCAAGGAGAGGAAGATGAGACCGGCAAAAATGTAAATGCTACCAACAGAATACTTTTAACAAACCTTTATGTCCCAGTACTACATTGCTATACTATTGAAAGATATAAATATACATAAAGATGTAATCTATTAATTCAGAATTCCATCCAATGAATTTGTACCGTATCTCTTGCTTTGCAGGCCATTGATCAAGACGAACCAGAAACAAAGAACAGCAGGATCCAATACAGAATTGAAGAAAGCATGTTCAGCGACAATTTTACCATAAACATAGACACAGGAGAGTTAGAAAAGAAAGACCAGTTAGACAGAGAAGCAATAAACGCGTCACTCAATGGGGATATTGTGTTAAACGTAACAGCTACTGACATGGGGGAGCCACCTAGGGGCACATGGGTCAAAGTCACAGTCAATGTGCAGGTGAGGCTTTTTAACCCTTTCAGGCTCAAATTGAGTTTTTGTTGCTAAAGGACAACCAAGACCTGCAGTGGTACTTTTGAGTAAAAAAAACTCATAAATTATGTATCTGGGGTAATAAGGTAGTTAGTTTTTAACTGTTGCAAATCAGCAACGCCTGCCTTGAGAGGGTTAAAATAACATCGCAGAAAACTTTTACAATTTTGGCTCAAAATGGCCAAAAACTGAGCAATTTATTGGTTGACTACCACAATGTATACCATTAGTGTACAACATTCTCATATGTCCACCGTACTTAATATTTTTAAATATAAATTAACCAGGGAAATTATGTCCCACTTGAATGATATTTTCTCTAGGGAGGAATATCTTTTTTCTCTCCCCCCACGGGTAGGGTGGGGCCCCAGGAATTATATTAGCCAGTCTCACTAACCAGTCCATCCCAAGATTTAAGGATCAAGACCGTGTCATGTGTGTGTGTCCAGATCATATAATGATATCAATGAAATAATGAAAGAATAGCAAAGTAATAGCAGAAGAATATTCTTTATAATATGTAAATACTTGATATACAGTTTCTTACTTCTGTTTTCTACTTACAGGACATCAATGACAATACACCTCATTTTAGGGATCCTTCTTATGAATTCTTTGTCAAAGAAAGTAATAAGGGTAAGTAATCATTTTCTATTTGAACTAAATAATGGAAATACTACATACAGTCTAAATGGTGTTTTAGCTATATTAGTATTAGTATATAGTATTATTAGTATTGAAGCTTTCCAGAATAATTAGACAGAGAAGTATCACTGTGGGCCTATTATAAAGGTGGTAACAAGGATTTTCAACATAGTGTGCTTTATCACATAGTGAGGGGTGACACAAATGAGCAAAATTGTCATTATGTTTTTTTATTATTTGTCTCCAGGGTCATTTGTGGGCTCAGTGTTTGCTGACGATGCCGACCAAACAGAGATTAACAATCGCATCTCTTTCCGTATCATTGATGGCAGCTTTGGCAACTTCATTATCATCTCCTCCGCAGAAGACACTGGGGGTTTTATTGGTAACATGTCTGTGGACCCAGATGTTGAGCTGGATTATGAGCGGGGGCAAAGGTTATACACTCTAACAATTGAGGCCACAGATCTGGGGCAGAGAAAGGATACAGTAAAAGTGAAGGTGAATGTGCTGGATGTAAATGACGAGCGGCCGACGTTGCCAAAAGATTTGACGTGGCATGTAGCTGAGAATACCACTGGTCTGGGGGTGGTGGGTAAAATCGCAGGGGGGGATCTGGACAGTAACCACTCCCTGGTCTATGAGCTCATCTCCACGCGCTGTTACTGCAATGCAACCATGGGTCCATGTGATGAGGAATGGTTCGTAGTGGAGCCCACAGGTGCTGTCATGGTCAACGAGGAATTCCAGGTTGACTATGAGAAGTGTACTCAAGTTCTGCTGGAAGTCCAGGTGGTGGACATTTTCACAGAGAAAGGGGAGAATACCAGTCTTCCAGGTTAGCGATGCTCTTCAGGGGAAAGGTTAATCACTCATTTTAAATGGATGAATGAATGAATGAATGAATGATAATTAGTTAAATCTTCTGCAATATCATTAAAAAGAGGCTCACCCTCACATTGACAAATAAGTAAAATAATTGTATTATATTATTAGAAAATGGGGACATTAATTTACAGATGCTATAATTTAAACTTCTTTATTGATTAAATGGGAAACTACTGTTACAAGTATTTATTATATGTAATCTTATTATTGACTTATTGCTAACATTTTTTATCGCTAACTTTTTTTAAGCAATTGTGACAATCAATATTGATGACATCAATGACAACATTCCCATCTTCATAACCCCCGATGGAGTATTTGGTAAACTCATTTATTTTATACTGTTATTTTGAAATATATATTTTTTCTAGATTAGTAAATATTTTCATGCTAGCTGTATCCTGATCATATTCATTTGAAGGTAGTAATTATTTTTCAGTAAATTTTATATACTACTTATACATCATTTTCTCCATTTAAGTTGTTGTTTCTGAAGATACCGAGAAGGATAAGAGTGTTGCTTTTGTCTCTGTAAGTAATTAGCTTTTTTATTATTTAGAAGGTGCACATTTAAACTCTGATCACACCAGAGACTGCTGCAAATGCAACCAAATGCAATAATTCTTGTTTAATTAGGAAAATCGTTTTCAAACACAATTACATATATAATTGTTGACAATTTCCATATATTTCCATATATGAGTAACTTTCTCTTACTGATAGGCAAATCAGGTATTCCATAAAAGATAAAAAAAAATAATTGTGTTCTAATATGGACACAAAGTGAAAACCATTCTTTTGAATCAGTGAACGGTATTCAGTTAATTAAATAGTCAAAAGCTCCATTTGTTCTGAATAGATTTCCAAGTAGACCTTAGCCTATGTAGTTATAATGGTGTCCCTACTAACTATTTCATAAATATTCCAGTATCTGTTGCTGAGAGAAATTGTTGACTAGGCTGCTTATTCTTGAATTAAAGTGATACATTTCTGTGTTTTTTCACACACCTATTGACTGCAAACATTGTTTCCTTTGTATAAAGTGGTGAGAACGCATTTGCTACTATGTATAATGAGTTTAATAACTAACATCAATACTGAGAATCTACTCAATTTGTCTCCCCACTTAACAAAGGCTTTTGACCTGGATTCTGGAGACAATAAGGTCATCACATTTGACATATTATCAGTGAAGTTTGTTGATACTAATAATAATGAGGTACCTATGGATGTATTTTATGCTGAAACCACTGCAAAGCTAGACTACTATGAAGGAACCATCAGGTAAAAATGAACGATAATTCACTTGAATTTATGTTTTTTGAATAATGAGATGTTGCAGTATTTCTTTGGCTTTGTAGTCTTATATTACTAAATTAGTTTATGTGCTTCAATTATATGATCAGAAATTTATGTTTAACAGAATTCCTATTAAAATGTATACAATTAATTTTCAGGTGCCTTGGCAGTCTTGACGGTAACTTGAAAGGAAAATACTCAATAACAGTAATAGCAAGAAACAAAGGGGATGCATCAGCAACAATTCAGATAGCGGTATATATTTTAATTTCACAAACCCCTGATGTTAATCAACACTTACCTTGGTTTTCATACACTTACCAAAGAATAACAATATATGTACTGTATATGAAGTACTAAATACTATTTATATTAGCCATGGTTGTACATTTCTTACTAAATACATTATCCATATTTGGATTTTCCCATATAAAATGACAATACACACATGAACACAAATACAAAGTCTTCCTACAAAATCCCATAGCTATTTTATGTTTTCTATAAATATAGATTTCTCAATTTCTACACTAACATTGTCAAAATGCAGTATTGTTTTTTTGTATTGAAATACAAGTACAATAAAGCAGGAATACCTTAATGATTTTTTAACATGTTCAATGTATGCCTCCATTTGGCAGATTTACACAATTGACAAATCTTATCGCGTCGGCCTCCGTTTTGAAACTTCAGTTGCAGAGGTCGAATCAAACTTGGACCAAATTAAAGGGTACGATTTATACGATGCTTGAATGTGTGTCATAGAAAGGGTTTACATTAAACTATGTGCTTCAGAGAAATTAAAACCGTCCTCTCAAAGAAGGTTTCAACGTGAAAGGGATGCTGTAGAAAACGTAATCATGTAGTGCCCTCTGCTGGAGAAAGGAAACAACAGTGGCACGTATTGAACCAGTGCTGTTGAAAGCAGGGTGCCTACAGTTAATGGCGTAAGAGAGGTTTTGGGGGGAACAGAACTTAATTTAAATACAAAGGTCTATTAAATTGGGGATGTATGAAGCCCCCCCCCCCCATTAGACTGAACATTGTATTAATTTGCTGAGCAGTAACTCTTAGTGATTTTTATTGTGATTTTATATGTCATGATACAAGACTAACAACATTGATTTCATGTCATGCTTCAGAGCTCTTGCAGCAGCAACTGAAGCAACGGTTCGTATATTGGAGGTTGTGGCAGAAAACACAGAGCAAAGGTAAAATATGTCATATATACATTGATATGTATAATACATGTCATTTTACTATATTGCAGTACATTCTAAATACAATAAATGTAATAAATATAACATTGATTTGATTTCTTTAACATTTCTGCCCTCTGAAATTCCATTATTTCCAAAAACAACTGAAGTAACTGCACAATAAGAGTTGCCAAAAAAACACAGGAGGAAGGTATCTGGATAATTGTCTAGATGGATTTAGAAAGACAATATGAATTATTGCAATGCCCAGTTAATTAGAATGGATTATTTTTCAGAGCCTCAGAAGTGACTATTTTGGGAACATATTTTATATATACCAACGGAAGCGCCATGGATTCAAACAGCGTTGAAAGGAGATTGCAAGAAGACCTATATCATGCTAACATACTGCGGAAATACGGCCTCACATACATTGTAAGTACATTCCAATAATTCAAAATTCAAAATTTCAATCTGCCTTGTTTATTGGCTTTTACATTATAGACTAAACAGTACATGTACTCATGGAGGGAAATGCAGTCATCCAATCATCCCCATCTGGGACTAGGGGGCAACTTGTAGTACCAGGCAGGTAGCCCCCTGCATGAGCTGGACAGACACACACACACATTCACACTGTACGGGCAATTTAGACACCAATTCATTTAACTGTCTTTGAACTTTGGGAAGACATGAGTGTCTAGAGGAAATCCAACCTGGAGAAGTGAAGAACCAGTCTGCAGTCATGCAGCCATAGTTGTGTTCTTTAAAAAGATATTAAAAAGGTTAATAACCAAATCAAATAAATAACATTTTAATTTTCTGTTTTGACACTCCAATTAAACCATTTAAAAACTTAATATCATCAGATAATATGATGCATAATAGATACAATATTATGATGCATAAGATACAATATGACTGAAAACAAAAATATTTTCATTATCCAAAGATTTTATTATTCAATCATGGTAAAAGAATACTGTACGTAAATTTAATCCTAATTTTCAAAAACAAATTCATGAAGTATAATAAAATTGGAATAAATCTTATCTTTTACTGTAGTTAAATTTTACATAAACACAGCAGCAGTAGCAGCAACAACAACAACAAACAACGATAATCATCATCATCATCATCATCATCATCATCATCATCATCACCATCATCATCCTTCTTATCCTCTGTTCCAGGTATCAGGACTAACCCAAGAGAAAGAAATTGATCCTGTGTTTGTTATACTTCTGGGTTTAGTGGCGGCTCTTGTAATAAGTCTGGCTATCATGATAACATCACTTGTCTGCACCCGGAAGAGGTTAGTGGTTTACAGATCCTCCTGTTTGGAACCTAGCTTTGATAAAGACTTCCTGGGACTCCTGTGGAAGCTGAAATATTGTTGAAGAATTGCTGGTTCAAAAGGTTTTGATGACAGTAATGTCAGAATATAGTGGCATTGTGTAATTTTTTTATTGATTGGTAATATCCATGAATAATGGGATTCCAATCTGATGCAATATTCCATCCATCCATCCATTATCCGGCCTCATTCCAGGTTCGGGTTGCGAGGGCAGCAGTCTAAGCAGGGATGCCCTGACCTCCCTCTCCCCAGTCACCTCCTCCAGCTCCTCCGGGGGATCCCAAGGCGTTCCCAGGCCAGCCCAGAGATATAATCTCTCCAGTATGTCCTGGGTCTGCCCTGGGGTCTCCTACCGGTTGGACCCGTCTGAACCCCCCCCCCCGAACCAGCCTAACTGGTTCCTTTTGATGCAGAGGAGCAGCTGGTCTACTTTGAGTCCATCCCGAATGTCCTCGCTCAAAGGCATTCTTTCACTCAGAACCTAAAGCTCGTGACCATAGGTGAGGACAGGAACGTAGATTGACCAGGAAATGGAAAGCCTTGCCTTCAGGCACTAATGAACACCCTTAATTTCAAACATGGTGTTCGTTATGGGCAAACTGTGGTTAGCACAGAAGTCCGATAACTGATCACCGCTCAGATTCTGATCGGGCAGGCCGTGCTCCCAGTAACACCCTTCTAGGATTCACTGTCATTACCCATGTGAGCAGTAAAGTCCCCTAGCAGAACAATGGAATCCCTAGATGTGGCACCTTCCAGCACCATCCAAGTTATTCAAGAAGGCTGGACACTCTGAAGAGGTGTTCAGCACATATGTGCAGACAGGAGTCACAGCCCGTCCCCTGACTCGAAGTCGAAGGGACGCAACCCTCTCATTCACCGGGGTGGACTCTACAACATGCTGGTACTGTGCCAGGGGTATAAGTAGACCCACTCCTGCCCGGCAGCTCCACAGTGGAATACAGTCTAGCCCCCATCCAGGAGTTTGGTTCCAGAGCTTGAGGTTCGCATCCCTGAGGTGGTTTGTCATGTGGTGCATGCTCCTTACGCACTGTAATCAGTGCATGGTCCTTACGCACTGTAATCAGTGCATGCTCCTTGCGCACTGTAATCAGTGCATGCTCCTTACGCACTGTAATCAGTGCATGCTCCTTACGCACTGTAATCAGTGCATGCTCCTTACCTCTCCTCTACAAAAATGGCACAATGAAAACATGGAAGACAAATTAGTGACCAAGTAGCAAAAGTATTTAATGAGTTTGCACTGAAAGCAAGCTTGTACTAATGTAAGGAAAACAAGTCAGAACACAAGAAGTCACAAGAAAACGTGGGAAAGTGACGACACTGTTTCTGGAGTTCATTGTTTATCAGCTTAATGAAAGCCAGTTAACAGTATAAAAGTTATAATATAAAAAATACATTGATTCTGTTTACAGTATGTTCAGATCAGTTTGCTTTAGAATGAATTTTTATAGGTTGTTAAATACTGTGGAATGTAGCAGCAATATTTAATTGAGCACGATACTGTGTTATTGTAGCTTCCAGCGGAAGCTAAAGGCAGCCAAGGCCATGAACACTGCAACAATGCTGACAACAGAGAATCGCAAAACTGGCGCAGTGGTCCCGGGTACAAACAAATACACAATGGAGGGGTGAGTCCCAAAACGTTCCGTTTCCAACCTTCACTCGGGCGTGTTCAGTTGAATACACCTGATGTGATTCATTTAGAATGAAGATTCATATAGTACCCGGAGCTTAGACTCACAGGCTTGTGTTCTTACTGATTCAATTTCAGGGCCAACCCTGTGCTGAATCTGAATATTGACACAGCCACAGACTTGGGCTTTGACGAAGACAGTTCCAGTGATGACATAGTTAGGTAAGACAGTACAAGACAGTGCTATTTACCCCATTACTGTCACCAGTCTATCATGAAATGATTGAAATTGTATTCCCCTTCTGAAGAGATGTTTCTTGCTTGTTCAATGTAGTTCTATATATTCTGTTCAATAATATTATATTATTTTATTCTTTAGATTTTTAAATGCCTAATATAAAACAGGAATTTGTCAGCCTGTTGAAGACATTGTACAGATTTGTGCTGTGTGCTTTATTTTTTCGATTTCTCTATGGGTGACAGGTTGTTCGGTTTACAGTAGGTGAATCATTAATTTGTTGGTTTACAGAAATTTTTCAGCAATATTCTGCTGTTTGTTGTGACTATGTCTATATGAAATTTAAACATGATGTTGTATTTCTGTTTTAGCATGAATTCCTTGGACTATAACCAGTCAGATAATGGGCCGATGACGGTAAATATTTCTTGAAACGAGTTCTGATAAATTCATTCTTTTCTCCTGCACTCTTGTTTAATATATAAGGATGATAATATTTAATTGCTTTCTGCAAGCAGTTACGATAATATAAAACAATAAGGTATGAAGAATAATGTCTGTGGATGTCCTTTCAAATATGTAGGTTTTAGATATGCTTTGCTTTTTAGTTAAGACCCTGAGAATGTCTTGCATTGATCCCAAAGACTATGATGCATTGTATTTTTATTTAGCATTTTTTAGCAAGCCAAGTTAAGTGCTCATAAGTGCAAATGTCTTTATAATAGAACTTAATTACCATGCCCTTGCAATTGTTCAGCTGATATGTAACTTTGAGCTCGTTTACATAACATTTCTAATTTGATTTATGAATTCCAGGCCGATATTTAGTCTTTTCCTGAGCTTTTAAAATTTGAAAAGAATTTGAAAAGTAACTACGGGTTTTCAACTAATTCACAGCTGTAAAATTTAAGCTACTGTAGATCACAGAGGAATTTCAGACTTTTATCTGCTTTTGTATTTTGTTAGATAATCCAGGAAGAGGAGGAGGAAGATGAGACTTCAATTGGCGAACAAGTGTATCACACGTCCATTGAGCCACTTGGGGCTGCACTGGCACAACGGGACAAAAAAAAGGATTCAGGAATGCAGTGGGGCTACGACAACCCATCGCTGAGCACCACAGACTTATGAGTATTGCATAAGGAATACAATGCTACTTAAATGCTACAAAGTTACTTTTTAATATGAAAATTCAAGAAAGCAAATGAAACTGTTGTATAAGAATACAAATGTCATTGTCAAATGCCAGAATGTAGCAGTTTTAAGAACTAGAAACAAAAGTTAAATGTTCCCCTCTTCTATAGCAGTGAATCAGTATCAATAAATCATTTGCTGCTTACACATTCGTTAAGGTTGTGTCAATTGTTATACTATTAGATTCTACAAGCCTCTTAAAAATGCACCATAGTCCATTCTTCTTATTATTATTATTTTAAATTTAGAAAAAATACAGTTGTTGACAAATTGTTGGGGTATGAATGTTGATATATGTTGACGTGTGTGATAAGGTGCACAGCCAGAACTCATGGGGTTGGATCCAAAAAATGGTCTGTGAGGGTGGGGGCTCGTCCTTAATGCGTGTCTGTCTATAAAGCAAAGGTTTATCCACAATTCAAATAACCAAAACTCACCAAATTTTCAACCAATTTAGTTTGTTACGAATGTCAGACATGTATTCATGATACAAAACACTTGGTCAAATTAAAAATGAAGGTTTTCATATTTAAAATCTAATGTAGATTTTAAGTAGTGCTTCTTTTCCAAATGAACTTACTATTTTTTTTCTAAGGATATTCTATTTACATACTGCGTGTAAAATGGCTACCATGGTGAAATTTTATGATTTTTTAAATAAATGTTAATTCATCTTCAGTGTATACAGTGTACTATGTAGTAAAAATAAACTGAATTGTTAATCCCTGTTTTGTTTCATTATTTCTTTCATTAGAAGACCCATAAGCAGCACAACTTTTTATGGGGTATATAAGTACTGGCCAGAACATCGTCACAAGATGGCAGTGGAATTTATGCATCCTGACAAGCCCCAATTTGAGAGAATATTCAGACATACTTTGGGCACCACAATCAAATGTAGTCAACCCATTTAGTTTTGAACATCTGGCTGTATGAGAATTACTTTACATAGTAGTTTAACTTCTACCTGACCCAATAAAAAGTGCAAAAAAGTGTTACAAAGTCTACAACAGATTTGCTCTTCAATTGAGCTGTAGAGATGTTCAGTTTCACATGTTTTGGTGCATCATCTTCTCCCTCAACCTTATCCATAGCTGTCACCATTTTGTCTTTGATTTCACAACTATTTTACTCTGCTATTCCTATTTTACTATATATGTTTTTTCACCAACAGGGGTCACTAGCCTTTTGTGTTCTGCAAAGCTTCAAATAATCACATTTGAATTTAAAGCTTCATTTTCCCATCACAAACTATAGCAGTACAACAGCAAACAAAGAGCAACAGCTACACACACACACAAACCAAATGGGGAACAGTGTAAGGACAGGCACTTAAATACACTTAGCAAGGGCTTCAACAAGAAACATGTGTGAACAGGAACGAATACTAGGAACACAGGCACAGGTGAGGGTAATTAACAGATAAAGGATCAAAACAGCAAGGAAGACAAGAATACAAAGGTAATTGAACATTAAAAACAGGGATCAAGGAACCATAACATAAATACATTGTTCAAGGAAAACAGAGATACATACAATCAAAATTACAAACATAGTTGAAGCTGGCCAGACGTGAATCCACAGCAAAAGGGAACCCAGCCCATTAAGCTATGTGGTGGCCCAGGGAGCTGGGAAATACGTTAGAGTGCTAACTGCAGGAAACACAGAACGGGATGAACAGCAATACCAGCTGGCAAAAAAGGGAATTGACAGGCAAAACGAAAAGGGGGCAGGGGTAGGGGCTGATCCTGACAATCAGGCACTCGATGAAGTAACGGTTAAGTTTAGCCACCAGGACCTTGTAAGCTAAGTTGTTTATAAGACCTGAGAACATAACATGTAGGTTAGGGATATGTCTTACACAACCACATTTTCTTCTTGGCTTATATTTTAGGACTGCTGAGAAGGCTCTGTTTTGATGCAAAATGCAAAGGGTGTGGCCAAATCCATATTGACAGCAGACTTTGTGCCAGTGGAAGGCACCAAAAAGTTTTCCTCAGTTTTGGGGCGTAACATGCAATGAACTAATAAGAATGGTGTGTTACCTCACCTTTAAAAAGCAACGGCGCATGAGCTATGGTGGATTGCTATTACAATGGCGCAATTGCCTGGCAAGCCAGATCGCTTTTTGCATGAGGAAACGGACGTGCACATGGGCAAGGTGAAAAAGTGGGAGCACATTGTGACGTCCACTATATAAGGAATGTCCCAAATTGCAGGCTGTGCAGGGATAATTCCACGCGGGGACGTTTTATTTGCTGAAAAGGTCAGACAACAGATGTGAACAGACAACAATGAACAGACAAGGGATACTGGACTAAAAGACGCATCCTCTGGACGTGAGGGTCTGGCCAGTGAGGGGACAAGAGGACTGGAACATGAGGGCCAGAACGCAGGGCTGGACTCGATAAACAGGACAGGGTGTAACACTAACAAACAGACTTTTGGAACGGAGGACCTGCGGAGACAAAGTAGAGCTTGGAACTGGATCAAGACCAGGTGAAACGCAAATTGACACATTCAAAAAGGCAGAAAGACCTAATAAGGATGGAAACTGGGATGTGAGAGACCAAGACAGGACACCTTGGGGAACAAGATGGGACCAGATTGGGGCACAAGACAGACCTAAGGCCACAGGATTAAAGTCAGCAGGGGAAATGACCAAGACAAAGACCATAACAGGGTAGACAGGTAAAGGGGCCACAATAACAGAGACAGGGTAAGCTGAAGACTGGGGTGAAACACAGACAAGATAGGGCACAAAGACAAAAACAAAGGCACAAAGGGGACTGAGGTCAAAGAGGGTCCTGTGGAGAACCCCGGGATGCTGGTCCCATAGCTTTGTGGGTCAGGCGGTGTTGTGGGAACAGCTGGGCTAGGCCCGGAGGACGATGTAAAGGAACTGGTAGGACTGGGACCTGGAGCACCTGCAGAGTCAAAAGACATGGGCAGGAACCAGGGAGCCCTGAAGGGTTAGCCAAACAGGGACACCCTGTCAGGTAGGTGCCGGACTTGGCATGGTGGCCCTGGATGGTGTGCTCCCGTCTCCCTCTTTGGGAGACAGGGACCCAACCAGTCTCTGGGGTTGATGTCCCCTACAGGACTTGGGAGTGGTGTGACAGGACCCTTGGCCTGGAGGCCATGGAGTGGGGCTCAGGGCCATGCCCAAACAGTCCCATTCCAGGTCCTCAGGGCGAACGTCCTCCTCTAGGCAGGTCTCAGCTGAGGAGCCCGACTGAGGAGCCCGATGCAAAGCGGGTGATTATTGGGCCGTCTGGTGGCAGGTTATTAACAGCCACCAGTTTGTGACGATGCTCTGGGTGTCAAGACAAACCCCAGCCTTGTCGCGGGGACCACATGAGACAAATCCCATAGTGGTGAGGGTTGCTTGGATGTGAGTTCTTGAGCTGCAGCAGCTCTCTTCTCCTGGGGCCCTTCTACAACCCTACCTTGCCGACCCCCTCCCAAAGGGCCGTGACGGCGGCTGCTGGTCTCAGATGAGCCAACGGAGGCTGGTGAGGTGACAAAGCGACGGCAGCAGGCAGGCAAGCAGGTAGGAGTCGACATGGAGACGGTTGCGGGCAAGCAGGCAGGAGCTAACGAGGAGATGGCTGTGGGTGAGCAGGCGGGTGGGCTGGCAGTACCCATCGTGGAGATAGCCATGGGCAAGCAGGTGGGCGAGTTGGCAGGAGCCATCTGGCTGACGGCCGCAGGCGAGCAGTTGGCAAGTGCAGAGCAGCGGCCTTCTCTGTGCTGGGTGCCAGCGGAGCAGTGGCAACTTTTCTTAAATTAGGTGCAGCGGTGGCATGGACCTCTTCTGGGCAGAACGTCAGCAAGGTAATGGCCTGTTCTTGGTTAGGAACTGCGGTGTCCTCTCTTTCAAGCGCAGGGGCCATTTGCGTAAAGGTTGGCGACTGTGTGGAAGGAACAGGCATCATCGCTACCAACTGCGTGGCAGGAGCGGGACACACAAAGTCAGGACAGGCAACAACCCCTCCTCTTGGCCCAGACTCTGGTATAGTGGCATCCTTACCTGGGCCCGGTGGTGTGATCGCTGTGGGCCCCATTCCCCCCATTTCTTCTCTTTTGCTTTCTTAGTTTTGGGGAGTCGGCGGACATCAGAACGAGGCATTTGGAAGGCAGGAGGCGGAGGCAGGTTCTCCGGTAATGGCAAGCAGTCCTAATGGGCTTGCATCAGGTCTCATCACCAGAGCATCCCAGGTAGGTAAGATGGTTAACAGTACCTCACCTATCTAGTCGAGCAAGGTCATGATCTCAGGAAATTCCTGCAGGAAGGGATCCAAAAGCAGATTCTGTCATGTCCACTAATGTAAGGAACAACCCAGAATGCAGGCTGTGCAGGGATAATCTCACACAGGGATGTTTTATTTGCATTATATGGCAGACAGCAGATGACAGCGAACAGGCAACAGTGAATGGACAAGGGATACTGGACTGAAAGGCACTTATAAACAGGACTATTGAGGAGAAAACACAAGGCAGCTGTGAATGGTCTACAGGACGGCAAGAACAAGAGGTAAGACTGACAGGTCATAGGTGTGGCCGATGTGAAGCCACACCCAACGGGAAACACGGGGATCAGACAGGTGGAGTTGACTGGACGTCCGACGGGAGCACCACTGTTCCACCAAAGCCTTTCCCGGTGAAGCAGGCATGGGATGAGGTAGTAGCCAGTGTGTCCTTGTTTCCTGGCACCATTAGCTCATCCGCACCGTCCCGAAAGCGGGATAATGATGCCAGAAGACGGGGAAGATAGAATCTCACTGCTTAACGAGCACAGCGGCGGGGAACAGGGACTTAATTATGGTTTTTTATTTTAATTTTGAGTTCGCAGTTCGTAAAACATAAATAAAAGTGCGATCTTTGTTCAAACTAAACACAACCTACAGTTTTTAACGTGTTTTAAAATGTTTGAATAAAAGGCAATAGGGCCGTTATTTTTCTACATCTCACAATTGAGATTCCTCACCAGGCTACAGACGATTCAGCTCTTCTGCCAGCTGATCCCTCCTTGCCCATGGTGCTGCTGTTGCCATACACTCCTTTGTTGGCATCGGCACAGGTAGCTCAGCATCACACCTTCTAAAGTCCTCTAATGTGTCCACATTTATGTCCAACAGTCATCCATCACGCATGGTAATGTTATGCAACATACAACATGCCACAAAGACCGCCGCAACCTTCTGAGGGCTGTATTGTAATGTTACACCTGATTTATCTAAACATCTGAAATGCATCTTCAGCAATCTAAATATCCTTTTAATTGGAGTATGTGCTTAATTCTCATAATGAACTCAAGCAAATTTTTTTAATGGTACGGTTTGTTCTTTACTTAATATAAATTTTTTCTTTTGTTGTTTCATTAAACAGTATAATTACGTGAAAGGGCCAGATATGCTCTATAATAAAATATGTATAAATTTAATAAAATTAAATAACAAAAACCCATTAGTGCACTTTGAGCACATACCTGTGTCCGAAACAGGCATAATAAACCTGCATGTTTCTAAAATGTGCTGCTTACATACCGTTTAACAATGCTCCACTGACTTTTGATGTGGTTTTGTTGGTTAAATGCACTTTAAAATAGCAAGGTGTTGACAATGCACCCAGCCATGCCTTATTTAAAAAACACTACTCATATACTGTAAGTGGAAAGCG